ATGACCTCAGCATGTTTGTGCTTCTACCCAATGACATAGAGGGTCTGGAGAAGGTAAACCCCTTGGTCCCTACTGTGCTTTCCTTTCCTAAGTTTTTGATCCCAACACTTGTGCTCCACCAGTCTGGAAGCAGGTGTCTGAGTAGCAGCTGGTGCCTGGCTGTGTTCACTAGAGCATTTCTCCCTCTCTGCAGCCACAGTGGAGCTCTGCAGGGGAACACTAAATGGTATCAGGCTCCCTGGGAGTAACCAGTACTCAGATGTTTTTTGGGGAGCTAAAATGAACATTTAAGATTCAGTAAGAATTCTAAAGATTCCACGACATGGATCCTTTTCTTGGAAAATAAAATCACATTCACTCATTTCTAGCATATTTTCACCCACTTTGCAGTTAAAATGTGAATGTGGCTAATGTCCTGTGTTCTGGACATTAGGAAGGCTTCGATTCAAATCCCTGCTCCTTTAGTAGCTTTCTGACCACTGACCCTTCTTACCTTTCTTGAACCTCAATGTTTTCCCAGGCATAAATCAGGCTTCATGGTGCTTAATATGTAGTGTTGTATGATTAGGGAGATGGAGCCTTGAATGGTGGAGGGTACAGAAAGCACTCAATAAATGGTAGCTACTGCATGGTTAAAATACCAAATTTAGTCTTTGCTGTAAAACTTTGCTAGTAGCATTATAAGATGGAAATGTTTTGGGAGAGCCAAGTGGCAATATGTATGAGTTCTTTAAGAGTATTCATTCTCATATGTCAGGTATGAGAATTACCCTAAGGAAATAATTCACAAGATAAAAATTTCCCTTCTGAGTCAAATCAGTAATTTCAGTATTGAATACATTAGGCTACCCAGTTGGAAATTCATAGTACCTACTGTTTTTAATATTTGCAGTATTAGCATCTATCATAATGCCTGGTACATACTAATGTTTGTAAAGTGAATGAAGAGATGAAATGTATCAGCTTGATGGCAATATTATCTATCAATCTGAAGGTATTTAGGCGAGATATGCAATAGAGTGAAAAACTTAAATTACATAAAGTAGACATTCACTGTGATTGCAACTGTGTAAATATATGTGCACATATAAACTGGAGGAATTGGTAAAAAAATGAAATATGTATCAAGTTGCTAGAATAAGACATGACTTACTTTTAATGTTTAAAAATTAATTCAATGACATTGAGATTTCCCCCACACACAGATAATTTAAGGAGAGAAATAGAAATGCCTGCTATATAGTGACAGCAGCACGGTAAAATGAAGTTTCACTTTTATTTATTACGAAAACAATTTCTGATACAAATCGGTACCTTGCCGTTTTAAATTTTTATCCACCATCATGCCAATCTGCTTTCCTCCCCCTCTTAAAAACCAGATTATAGATCAAGTCACTCCTGAGCAATTGATAGAGTGGACCAGGCTGGAGTTTATGGAGGTCAGGACCGTGAACTTGCGCTTGCCCAGGCTGCAGGTGGAGGGCAGTTATGAGCTGGAGCCGGTCCTGGGAGCCCTGGGGCTGGGCGCGGCCTTCAGCGAGAGCGATGCGGACTTCTCTGGGATGTGCGCGCGCTCGGGGCTGCAGGCGCAGAGGTTCCTGCACCGGTCCTTTGTGCAGGTCACCGAGGAAGGTGCGGAGGCCACGGTGGCCACTGGCATAGGTTACATGGTCTCATCGGCCGGGGGCTGTGAGCAAGTCCACTGTGATCACCCCTTCCTGTTCTTCATCAGGCACCGCGGGTCCGACAGTGTCCTCTTCTTTGGCAGATTTTCTTCTCCCTAAGAAAGTCGTGGCCTTGACCTTGGAGATGAGGAAGCAGTGTGGGGGCAGCGGTAGGATCCTGGAGACCTTCCGTGCGCTTGCGTCTTTAGCTGCTGGCCTTCCAATCCTAACGTTAAACCTGTGATTTTATGACGTAATAATGTGTATTTATGATTTTCCTTGGAGGTGAACGTCCTTTTGTTTGTGTCCTGCAGAATGTGAATCAGACCCAAACTCGTTGAGACTCCCTGTGGGTTTCCTTTGGAAGTAAATGAAGGTCTTGTAAAGTCTTGTGCATCAGTGGGGAGAAGGGGAATCTTGGATAAAGAGAGTGGATTCTTCTTGGGATTTTAGGGGTCTCTTTGGTTCCAGTATTTTGGCATATTATACAAGTAAAATACGACAATCATTCAATGTGTGCATTCCTTTTTCTTTTCAGCAGATATTGTGGTAAACTGCACACAGGGGAGGGAACTTAGAAACACATTAGGGAAAGGTAAATTAAAATGCAAAAACCAGAGCAAAATGAAACGATATTCCAGAGGATTCCCTTGTTTTCACCTTCCAGTCAAACATAATCCTCTGTTATGTTCCATAAACATTTTGATATTGGAAATGCATGTAATAAATTGAGGAGATAAATGTTGCAGCCATCAGTACTCCTACATTGTCATTTTTTTTTTTTTTTTTTTAGGATTTGGAATGTAAATACTTGAAAAAACTTTTAGAAGACTAGCTGTCACTATTTATGTATTTCTATTAATTTTTTAGTGAGACATAAGTATTACCCAATAGTTTTTTATTTTTATTTTTGTGGCTCTGGGGACTAAACCCAGCTCCTCTTACATAACAGGTAAACACTCTACCATTGGGCTACATCCCTGGTCAACAAATGTTTTTTTTTTTTTTTAAGATTCTTTTAAAAAAACTTGGAATCTTTTCCTGGTGCTCTTCATTGTAAGCTTATTTTACTTTCATCAGTTTTTAGTAAGATCCCCTTACTGACTTATTTTTCAACAGTCTTGCTGAACAGTAAATTACATACCATAAAATTCATGTACATTGTAAATCACAGCTAGTTGATTTTTGGTAAATTCTCAGAGTTGTGCATCCATCACCCAAATCTGGGTTTGGAAGATCTCCATTACCCCTAAAGCACTTTCCTCATGGCTGTTTCCATTCCCAGCCCCAGGCTGTCACTGATTGGTTTTCTACATTTATAATTTTTCCCTACATTTCATATAAATGGAACTATACAATGCACATCTTGTGTGTCTTCCTTTGTTTGCATAATGTGTTTGAGTTTATCCTTTTGTAGCAGGTATTGATGCTTTTAAAAATTATTAGTGCATTTTAACTACACAGAATAATGGAGTTCATTGTGGCCTGCATCGATTCTTAATGCATTTTTATTGCTGAATATTGTTCTGTTTTGTAGAAAAGAGGCATTTATTTATCTAGACACCAGCTCATGAACCGTGGCTTGGTCCCACTCATTACCATTATGAGTTATGAACATTTGTGAACAGGTCTTTGTGTGAATGTAGGTTTTTGTTTCTTTTGGGTCTATTCCTAAGGGTGTCACTGCAGGGTCATATGATAATTTGTTTAGCTTTAAAGAAACTGTAAACTGTTTTCCAGTGTTTGTATCGCTTTACATCCCTCCAGTACTGTATGAAGTTCTCGTGTCTCTCCATCCCTGCCAACATCAGTGTTTTCATGATTGCAGTCCTCCTAATGGGGGAAGGTGGTATTGATTGACATTTCCATGATTAATCAAGTTTATCATTTTTATGTTAGTTATTGGCCAGTTGTATGCCTTCTTACATTCTAATCATTTGTTTATTTTAAAATTAAGTAATTTGTCTTCTTCCTGTATTATTGAATTAAAGATATTTTATATACTTTGGCTATAAGTCCTTTATCAAATCTATGATGTATAAATATTTCTTCACAGTCTGTGTTTCTTTTAGTTTTAATATTAAATTAAATTAAATTAAAATTTTAAATTAAATAAAATGTTATTTTTCAAATTATTTAAAAATATAAATAATATTTTTATTTATAATAATAATAGTTTTTAAAGATATAATTTAAATATCACAAAATTTCTAATTTAAAGTACACAATTCAGTGGTGGGTACATTCACAGAGTCATTCAGTAGACACATTTGTAATCTAATTTTAAAACATTTCTAACCCTCCACAAAGAAATTCCATACCCACTAACCATGATTCCTAGTTCCTCCCTGCTCCAAACTCATGGAAATCATGGTTCTACTGTCTATTTCTCTGGATTTGCCTATTCTGGACATGTTACATTAATGTCATAGTTTTTCATTTAGCACAATACATTCAAAGTCCATTTAAGATGTAGTATGACTTAATATGTCATTCTATTTTAATTTTTTAATTTTTAGATGTTGATGGACCTTTACTTTATTCATTTATTTATATGTGGTGCTGAGAATCGAACCCAGTGCCTCACACACTTGCTGGACAAGTGCTCTATCACTGAGCCACATCTCCATCCCAGTATGTCATTTTTTACTGTTGCTAATAATACATTGTGCAGATATGTCAGATTGTGTGTATTTGATCATCAGTTAATAAACATTTGTGTTTGACTTTTTGGCTCTTAAGAATAATACTGCTAAGAATACTTTGTGTATGACTTTTTGTAAGAATGTCTATACTTGGGAGTGGAATTGCTGGGTAATAGGGTATTTTTATGTGTTTCATTTTGAGGAGCTGCTAAATTGCTTCCAGTGTAGCTGCAACATTTTACAACCCCAGGGCAATGTATCAACACTCCATTTTCTCTGCATATTTTTCTCCCTTCGCCTTCCCTTACCTCTCCTTCCCTCCCCTCTTCTCTCATCCCTTCCCCTTCTCTCTCCCTCCCCCACCCCACCTCTGGAGAGATTTATTAAATTTATAAACTAACTTAGGGAGATCAGATGTATTCCTGGTTTTGAGTTTTTCTGTCCTGGAGCATAGTATGTCTCTTTATCTGTGTCTACTTTTATGTCTTTCAGGAATGTTTTCTGATTTTTCTCATACAGCTTTTGGATGTTCCCTTTTGAGCCTATACCTGGGCATTTTTTCCGTTTGGCTATCATAAATGGCATCTTCCATTTCTATGTTCAGTTAACTGAAGAATGAATTTGTTTTATGGTTGATTCCAGATCTTTGTTGATGATTTTGATGATTAAATTTCTGGTGTCTCTTGTGGGCTGAAGATTTGGAATTCATGGAAAGCTGTCAAGGTGAGTTCTGAAAACCTTCTCCAGCCTGTTGCTAGTGTGACTACCCAGTACCACAGCAGCACCTCTATGAACCCCAGTACCTTGGTCCCAATCAGCCTGATTACTACAAAGAATGGAGTGTTTTGAAAGATAGCTTTTCCATGCATTAGGTAGGTGTGTAAACAAAGCCTGGTGGCACACACCTGTAATCCCAGTGACTGGGGAGGGTGAGGAAGTAGGATTACAGGATTGAAGACAGTGCCAGCAACTTAACAAAGTTCTGTCTCAAATAAACAAAAAATAACAAAAAAGAGGACTGAGGATGAAGTTCAGGGGTAAAGCACCCCTGAGTTGAAACCCCAGTACCAAAATGAACCAGAAGGGGTTTGCAATCTGCTCTGTGGAAGAAAAACAGGTGGTTCTGGAAAGATGAAGAATCCAGGTGAAAGGGTTTTCACAGCCAGGTTGTGCAATAGAGTCACCTAAAAACCTGTGGTTAGTTAAAACAGGTTGTGTCTTTAAAGACTGTGTGTTATTGTTGGTGTGAATGTAGATGGGTGCAGTCATTGTGGAAAAATGGCATGGAGGCTCTGCGGAGATAAAAAATGGTACTACTGTGTGACCCAGCAGCTCCTCTTTGGGGTATAAACTGAGGGGAATGAAATTACCACCTTCTGAAGATACCTGCACTCCCATGTTCATTGCAACCTCAGATGAGCACCTCTTCCCAGCCTATTTAAAAAGGCAAAGAGGAAAGAGAGGAGTGATTCATCAGAGGTGTTAGTAATAAGCCTTTAGGAAGCGCAGTGACTCAAAACTCAGTAGGGATGGGCCAGCAAGTACACAGACACAGAGGGCTGTTGCCAACCACAGCTCCAGTGCAGGCCTTTATTGGCATTTTCCCACCAGCTAGAGACATGGGGCCTCTTCCGTCCATACCCCCAAGTCTCTTTCACTGGGTTTACAAGTGGATCTGAGCATCTTTGTGATTGGTAAAAGGTTGATATTAGAAAAAAGCCAGGAGATACAGTTGGGTAACATGCTATTTGGCAAAAGCAGAGGAGCTTCTGCTTAAACCCAATCTGATTGCTAACTGGTGCTAATCTGGTAAACTGCCAATCATAGTACAAAATGTCCTCAACTGGTCACATGGCCCATGCCTGCCCAATCATGGTACCCATTCAGCCACATAATTTGCCCAGGGGTGTGGAAATGGGTCCTGGAACTTCATGTAGAGATGAGAGAGAAGTTGTCTTTCTTTGAGGTAATAAAAGGAGAAAATCTCAGAATTAAAGCTTAAGGAAAATTTCAGTGTGAATAATGGTTTTCAAATAAATCTCTTGTCTCTTGTTCTTATTTGAGATGATATATAAATTAATAATTCAAGTCTGTTTCAAGATAGTTAAGCCTGGTAAGAATTCCGTGCAGTTGATCACATTATATGCCTAAGAATGTATTTAGAAATGAACACAAACTCATCTGAATGAGCTCTGAGCTCCAAGAATAGAGGTGGGAGATAAAGATCCACATGACTGAGAATCAGTTATTCATTTCTGCAGTCAGTTGAGACAATGGTGAGACAATAACTTGAGACAATAACTTCTATGGTGATGAATCACATTGATAGAAGTATTTGGGTCAGATGTAAACTACTGCCTATGTTCCATTCTTTGGAAACTCTCAGCTTCTGACAAGAGGGCAGAGTGGCTGAAGGACTGGGTTGTTGTGGATAATGACAGAGATCTGACAGGGAGATGCTTCTGAGTGAGTTCTCTGAAATCAGATTACCTGAATTTGACTGCCAGTTCTACCACATATTAGCTGTGTGACTTTGAGCAATCATACAACCTTCTCTATCACAATTCCACATCTGTAAAACACAGTGATTATCCAATAAAATAGTAACTTACTGACCTGTTTTGGAGATTAAATAAAACTTTTTTGTGCTTAAGAAAATGTCTAGTATTTAATAAATGCTCAATAAATATGAATTGCTGCTTTTTCTCCTTGTCTCTATTTTTGCTTGACATCTTCTTGGTCTTCATTCCCCTGTTATTGTTTATAGTAGTTGAATATAATAGTTCCATCAGTTTATGTCTCAGCAGGAAAGAATTGGCATATTTAACTGGGATTTTCAACAAGAACTCTTACCTTTTATTTGGTATTATTTTAGATTTACAGGAAAGTTGCAGAGATACTACAGTGGATTTCCTTATACCCATTCCCAGTTTCTGTTTTCGCTCATTACTATGGTACACTTGGAAAGTCTAAGAATCCAACATTGGTGCATCACTGTGGCAAGCAGAATTCCAAGATGGTGCCCAGGAGTGAAGGGCCCTGGTGTACACACACTTTCTCCTGGTTATCCAATCAAACTCTAATGTAGGTGTTGATGGGAAGGGACTTTGTGAAAGTCAAGAAGATCCTTGGTCAACTGACCTTAAGATGGGGAAAT